ATCCTGCATGTGTTTACTAAGTTTCTAAGTTTGCGATTTCTGACCCAGCTAACAATATTTCTCTGCAGTAGCCTGAGTTTCTGAGGAGCTGTTGATGAATTCGTTAAAGCAGGTTTAAAAATCATAACTGATTCCCTTATGTCTCTACGTTCATCCTTTAATGGTAGTAGACAGCCTAGTGGCTGGCAACAAGATAATTGGTGCCAGCTACTGCTGCTGGGTTGGATTGGTATTTAATTTTAAGGTGGGTCTTTTCATCCATTCTTGCATTTCTATTTTTGTTTCCTAAATGAAGTGGTAGCTATGCTCTTTGTCCAGCCTTAGACTGACTACCTCTTCGTTTATGTGGTCATCCTCTTCCATCTCCCAAGACATCTCTATCCTGTGCTTTAAATATTTCATTGCTTCCTGACTTATTTCTCAGTCTGAAAATGTCTCAAGTTTTGGCCCCACTGTTAAAACTCTTTTCATGTCTCTTTTTCTCTTTCATCAAATCCCTCTGACTGCCATCTATGGTTATTACATCAGTTACCTCACCTTCCTGATCACTTTCATGAAGAATGTCTACTAGGCTCAATTGCATAATTCAACCAAGCCGAAAATGCATCATAAAACATATTTAAAATAGAAAGCATTATTTGATACTAATCACTGAAAAGATATCATGAAGATGTACAAGCCACCAGTGCTAAATCTTTCCATCTGTCTCTCTGGCTTCAGAGTGAATTCTGAAAGACTGAGTGGTTCATTTCTCTAGAATGGGTATATTCAATGACTTTAACCTGGGCAGATGACTCTAATGGGTCTGTTGCTTTTGTTTAGAAGAACTTGAGAAAAATAGGATTGTTCTCAAGGCATTTTTGAAATAGGAGGGGTGTGGTCAAAACAGAGACACATATTGTTTTTCCTCCTACTTTGGCTCATTTCAGAGAATCTGGACCTCTGTTTTATCAGAATTCCACATCCTTGTTCACTAGGTTTTTTTTCCCTTAACCACTTAAAAAGAGTTAAATCTCATTAATATTAGCTTAATGACTGTGTAGTTAGTTAGATAAGTCTAGTAACATTCTTTCAACAAACATTATTATCTGCACATTGCTGACTCTCATGCCTTTCAAAGCAGAAATGCTTTTGCTGTGAATGTGTCCTCAATGAATTTGGCTTTCGGGCATAATTACAACTAATAGCAAATTGACTGTCAGTGGCTTGCTACAGTTCTCTCCTTATTTACAAGGCATCAGTCCTTGACACTTTGTCCCTCAGATATAGTAACAACTTTTAGGACATTAAGGAATCCCCAAAACACACCAAACTCCAAGGTGGTTCTCTTTTCTCCACCTTTCTTTAGTATAGACTTCCTTACTGGTCTTTATTGATTCTTAAATACTTAGCCAATCTCTAAGCAAATTCTGAAAGCAATAGAGAAAATGAATATACTAATCCATTAAGTATATTTGCTGAGTAGGTGCAGGAAGAACTAGTCCTTAAGTATATCCTTTGAAGCTAAATGTGTGTCTCTTTCTTTCTTGTTTATTTGATACTTATTTTAATGTGAATGTATTTTAATCTTTTGCTAATATTTCATTTTGTTTATGTTTATTCTCTTCTTAGCTTATTTATTTATTGCTTTTTCTTTTAGGTATGAAACACTACCAATCCTTTCCTTGGAGTAAAACATTTAAAAATATTTATTTTGATTATTTCAATTTTATATTTTATCTTAAGTAAATTATAAGAACGAACAACTGAAAATATTTATTACAAAGCTTATTAAATATTACATGAAATTTTCCCCATGAGGTAGTGACGTTTAGTGTGTGTGTGTGTACATCTGCTTGGCACAATTTGACATAGATTATTAACATTTTAGAGAGAGATTTGAGATTTACATATCAAGTGAGATAATATTCTGTAAAAAAAAAGTTAAGTTATAATTTTAAACTCAACACAAAATTACCACAATTATCAAAGAAAAGACATACAGATTCAAACCATGGTTAAATTTTAAGGAAAAGAGTAATTTAGTCTTAGGATCCTTACCTTAGTGTGACACCAGACTGACATTAGCCTCTTGTAGGAAAATAACTTAAAACAACCCTAAGTCAACTATTGTAGTCATTTTAGTTTTATAAAAATCCACAGAGTTTGATAGATATGATACAGTGTACCTGGCTTGTTTACTTGTTCAAAATGAAAGAACTAACCATCCAGAAACCCAGTCACCCTGGATGAAAAACATACAAACTCACAAAGGACAGTAGAAGACCAGTTGTAAAGAAGTAATTGATGTTAAAACTGGTCATCCTTGGTTAAGTACTTTTAATTGTAATCAAATGAATCATTTGAACCTGTCTTCATACTTATAAAAGAAATTCCATTTTAACATTGTGTAAGATAACTAAGATAGTAAAGTATATTCAAGTCACATTATAGCCCAAGTATATTATTAGATAAATGGTTAAATATTATTTCCTATGATCATTCTTCTGCCCATGGTCCTACTTAGGACCTGGGCTTTAACTGTATTAAAACTTATGAAGTAATAAATAGAGCTAATCTCTATCCACATTTCATCTTCAGATAAAGTGGTAATGGAGTTAATTTCATGTAAAGAAAGACTTGGTAAAACTTGGAAGTTTTGTAAATATTGCAAAGAGTATCTACAACATTTTCATATCTCATTCTAAGATTATGATGTCATTACGTCTCCCCCAATTCCCTCCTCCAACCTCTACCATGTCATCATTATTCTCTTTCAAATTCATAGCCTCTTTTTCTTGAATTGCTGTTATATCTATGTGTATTCTTAAATATATATAAACACAACCTGTTCAGTTTGTATTGGATTTGTATGTGTATATCAATTTTTATTTGTATGTGTATACCTTCAGGACTGACCATTTGGAACTGGATTCCTGGCCCAGGCCTGGAGTTTGGTACTAGCGCTGGGGGTTGGGACCAATGTGAGGAGTGGGGAGGATCAGTCAGACCCAGCAAGCTGAACTCTGGAAAAGGATCCATATTTCACATTTTATATCTTAGGATCTAAGAAAAAGTTTAAGGACTTAGGAACAAACAGAAAGCAACTATTAATTGTGCTATTCAAGCATTATTAATGATAACTCAGTTTCTCTTCTCATGTAGTTCCTAACTCAATCATTGATGCAGCATTACTATCAATTCTTGAGGTGAACACAGAACATAATTAAAACCATTCTTAGATATACCTAGTTAAGTCTGAAAGCCATTGATTGAATACAATATTTATTTTTATGTTGATCTTTGTTTTGCATGTAGAGACTAAATCCTCTCCTTAGCCACCATGAATGACATATTAACAATAATAATATTGGTTATTGCTACTTCTTGGGATGGCCCCCTCTATGATAAGTGTTGATATGAGAGACTTCAATTTTGCATGCATTTTACTTAAAGATCAAATGCAGATCTAAAATGTACGATTACTATGCTCTTTCTAAATTTTTGACTACTGTAGATGTTTTGGCTCTTCTAGCAACTCCTACTGTGCTCCATGGTTATTTCTTGTACATGATAACTGTTGGCTTTGTTCAGTTCAGTGCCTATATTTCTTCAAGATAGTTATTATTTCCTTTGGCTTCAAAGAGTTTAGTGGTTTAATCTCAAAGTCCCCAAACTAGTAATGACCTATATCTTCATTTATTTTATTACACACTCTAATTACAAAAACAAAGACATATCTAGCAAGACTAAATAAGGCAAAAAAATAAGTTTCTAATTAACATTATAATTCTTAGAATTCTTAGAACAGCATCAAGTCTGTGTCTTGTTTTGTGCTTATTGCTCTGACTCACATACTTGTTTACCAATTTCATGAGTATTTATGCTAAGAGTGAGTGAGCAATAGTTTCCTTAAAAGCCCTCTCCATTTCTGTTTTGAAAATGTAGATGTAACTGAATTCTGGGAAGTGACATCTGGATTTTGTTTTGAAAAAAATCATGAAAGATATATGCTGAAGGGGAAGTGGCAAAGAATGATTTAATTTTTGAGTAAGGTTCTGAGTGACTAGAAAATACTGTAGCAGGAGCATTAGCTAAGGAATAAAATGTCAAAGGTACCCAGTAGGTGATTTAACTTGGATAATGCAGATATTTATCTTTCTCTTTGGTTGTTCTTCCATAACTTCTCAATGTATTTGAGACTCTCATATCTTGGAAACCATAAGGGCAAGAAGAACTCTGCCTCTCCCTTGGCATCTTCAGTTGAGTTGTAAACAACATCTGGGACTTGTTTTCTCCAAGACAGGACTTTCTGCTATAGTGGCTATTGAATTGCAAAGAAGAAAATACCTACTTCTTTTATAGCATGTTTTACTTTGAACACTTGTGACATGTACTATTAGCTTTTGAGAAATCATTTCATATTCATGGACTATGCTTTAGAACAAAAGTATGGGCAGGGAGCCAGAATCACAAACCATGAAAATGTTAGGGTGGTTAGGAACCTTTAATCCAACCGCTTAGGGTTCAGGAGAAAAAACACAGATGTATGTGTGAAAAGGAGTTTCTGAAAGCCATTTAAAAACTAAAGAACTAAAACTAAGACATTCTAAAGCCAGACTAATGACTTTGTTTCCAGGTACATTCATTAATCAACATTATGATATTAAGGATTCTACACTATTATTCAGTAATGATTAATCAAAATACAACAGTTATAGTTGCTTTTAAATAAAATGTCTTCTATAGTTCAAGTTGCTAAGTGTCATTACATATTAAATTATAGCATATCTGAAATATACACCTTTAACTTTAAAGAAGCAACAACTCTTTTTATTGAAAAACATGAGAGAACGTTGGCAAAAAAAAGCCCAGTATTTGTTGATACCCAAAAAACAGAGTACATATGTTAGGGTACAGTGATCCATTTAGATATCTTAGATATTTGGTTTCTTGCATGATTTCCAAAACATTTTAGAATATAGAAATACTTTAAATAGAGTCAGATGGAATTTTTAAGATATTTTAAGAAAACCAACTTTTATTTGTTTATATTCCCAAGAGCTCTGATTAGTATATTCATCTCAGCTCAAGTCTCATCATAAAAATATTCAAGACACCTTAATATGGAATTAAACTAATAGATCAAAAACCACAAAAGAATTCTGTCTTCATTCCCTTTTTCATCAGAGGTAGTTGTTTCCATGGAGCAAACCATCAATGAGACTTGGTGTCAGTTCACATGGCTGGTTCAAGTTATGATCTCCAATCATGGCTCTTCTGTGACAATGGAGAGGTTCTATTACTGCTTGGTACAGGCCCTGTAGTGAAGACAGCTGGCCCTGTTTCCACCCCAAATAATACATTTATTGTATCACCCTCCAAGGTGATCACACCCCCTTCAGCCAGAATGTGGGGAGCTTTTGTTCTTCATTCCCTACGCTAAACCTTCAACATTAGTTCTCTGCTAAACCCCATGTAAAGGCTAGTATGAGTGTAAGCTACTCTGTCTGTGGATACTGGTAATCTTGCATGCATTAGACCTGCTCTCAGTTTAGCCACTGTTCTGTGATTAGGTGGCATTCCAGAATGATACTGGGTTTGAAGAAGTGAAAGCTGAGGAAGCAAGACTGATACTGCTTGATGCTGCATTTGGTGACACTGTCTACTATATAGTGCTTCCTGTTCATCAAAGTGCTTGCCTATGAATACACAATATATTAGCAAAATAGGGACAAATGGTATGATGCTAGAATTCTAAAATGATCCCTAAGATTCCTTCCCAAATTATGTCAGTTCATGCATCACACCCTGAATCAATTCCTTGCTTTGAGTGTGGTCAGGACCTATTAGCCACGCGGAATAGACAGGCATGCCTGGAGGATCTTACCCCAGATGACTGCAGATTTTATCAAATTGACAAGTGAGATTCCCTATCACACCTCCCTATCAATAAGATGCCTAATTCAAAACGTAATGTATTGTACCCTTGTTACTCTAGGTAACTTACTTAAGATTCCTTAGCAGCTTTGGAAGTTTGTCATGCTGGCCCTGAAGAAACACATGATATGTGCTGGGTTGGATTTCTGAAGAGGCCACAGAATAAAGCATTCCTGGGATGTGAGAGCAATTCCTGGTGGAAATATAATAAGAAAGCAGAAATCCTAGCCAGACAGCTATGCAGAAACAAATTCTGAATGAGCATGGAAGTGGTTACTTCCTTGAAGGCCTCTGGATGAGAACAATCTGGCCAAAACCTTGATTTTGGCCTTGTGAGAAAACTACATCTAGATGTTGGACCTACAGAGCAGCTGCTATAATAAATTGGTGTATATAAAACCATGAAACATGTCCATTTGTTGTACAAGCAAGCTAATAAAAGCAGAGCAGATAGTGTAATTGATGTTTCACTCATAGGGAGGCTGGTGAAGAAGAATGAACCGAGGAGGGAAATTTGATTGTAAAAATGAGTGACACAGAGGCAGAGAAATGCAAATGTGGGTTCAGCTAGTTTTCTCAGTTACATACAGTCCAGGACTCAAGCCTGGAGAATGGGAGCCCCCACAGTGGGCAGGTCTTCCTACCTTAGTTAAGTTAAGACAATCCCTTATGGGCATTTGCAGAAGCCCATCTCCTAGATGATTCCAGATCTTAGCATATTGACAATGTAACAATTACATATACAACCAGTAAGGAGAGTACATTGCATCTTTTACATACATTAAAACAAAACAAAACCATCATTAATATAGTCTGGCATTAGTTCAGTGGTGTAATGAGAACATCAATCAAAATCATACTGAATCTTGAGTTGGCAACATTTTAAAATAATCATGAATCAAGATCTAGTCTTCATCACTACACAAGCAATATTCTGAGCAGTCAAGATCAGGAAATCTGATAGGCAATTCCACCCACTTCTTATATTGTTTCTTTGATGAGTTATTTTTGAAATCCACTACAAAATTCTTTATTTTGAGACAAGGCAAATCTAAACCTTTGTGTACCATCATTGTTCCCCAAGTCTAGAAAACAAAAGAGAGAGAGAGAGAAAATCAAATGCCCATTCAATTTATTACTCCTTTTGGCCAAAGTAAAACTCAGCCCACTAGAGTTTACTTACCTGGCCACATTTGCAGATAATCTCTCCATTTGCTTGATAATCAGCAAATTTCTTTTGTAGTGCTTTGTTTTCTCTTACAAGGTAGAGTCTCCTAAAATGACCACACAGGAAGAGTCACTGGTGAGACTTGACAAAATAACAATAAGCACCCATGGGTTCATCATATTGGGCTTGATGATCACCCACATGGCTGTTATCTTGTACTTTGTTCTTTCTTATCTTTTTCTACCTAGGATTTCTGTGACAAATCAGATGGATGTCACCATCTTACACATACCTCCTAAATGCCACACTGTCTCTGGGTCTCCTTTGAAGTCTGCTATTATTTTAACTTTTCAGTCATTCAAAATAATTGAAATAGGTATGGACATCCATAAATTAAATATCTTGTATCCAAATGGCTTTGTGTCTTAGATTTACTCCTTGTCTCGAGGGAGATTACTTTCAAAACAGACACAAGAGACAAGGTTGTATGTGAGGGATTACAAAAGGGAAAGTTGTGAGCAGAAAGAAAATCTCACTTCCACTATGCAAGCATAATGTTTGCAATGCCATTGACCTCACCTCTACTAAAGAAATTTAAAGATGGATCTTGCTGCACTCACTTGAATTCCGGGGTCATGTTGACATGATGCATCTTCTCAATTACGTGGATGTGTTCTCCTGAGCAGACTAGCATACTACAATTTTTGCAGAGTAGTGTTATTAATGATGGATTGTTATTATAATGCTTTGCAATACTTCTTTTGATTTTCATTTTCTTTTCCAAGATACTTTGTACCTGCAATGTCAAAATCTGTGTGTAGAAGAGAATAGTGAATTAAGTATTTCTCATAGTTTTGTAGAAGTAAATGAGATGAAATTTACATATCTTAGATAATTGTACTCTAAACATGAAGAGACAACAGTTCCAGATGAACTTAGTATATCATCTTCTACAGTAGTCAATGTCGACCCAACTCCAAATACAATGAAAGGATGAAGTAAAAGGTGCTGGGTCAAGTGGTGGGAGATATTTGAGTTCATTCTTGATGTCTGATATAATTTTAACTTTTCAGTAAGACTGCCATTTTATGACATGCAAAATAGACTTTGTCTAATGTGTTCACTCTCCCTTTTTGTCAGTGTTTGCCTACACACTGTTGAAAGGGCATTTAAAACTGGAGAGTTGCTCTCTCAGTAACTAATAAGTAGCAATTCTTTTTGGGAGCTTTGAGTATAACGGCAGTGTACATGGTCTACTTCCTTGCTGTTCTTTCTCTTCCATCCACTGGAGAAGTCTTGAGGCAACAGATCTCTTGCTTAAGGGAGACTGAGAATGATAGAACCTTCTGGGGGGTCCTAAATGGGTTATTTGTTATCATTTCAATACTGCAGGCACCTCTATATTCATGCATGGATTGAGTCCACAAAGTCTTGTGTTAATAGTATTAGAAGTGAAACTTAATCTAGTTGTATGCTTAGAAATGGGGCCCTTGAGAAAAGATTAACTTGGATCAGGATTTAAGGGGTTGAACCCACAGGATTGAATTCTGGTGGCTTTGTAAGGACAAAGAGAGCACAAAGAATTTTAGATACATATGCATTCTTGCCATAATGTGATATCAGATTGGGGTGAGGCCTCACAGAGCCTTCCATGTTCTTAGGCCTATGGCTTTAACTCTCAGTCAAACTCATAAACCTCCTTACATTATAAATTGGCCTACCTTGATTATTTCGATAATGTAATAAAAGGCTAGCTAGTACATTGTTTGAGTCTACAGATGAGGAGACTCTGACCTGTGAAGGGTAGATTTTCCTATAATTGATCTAAAGAACTTAGTCTTAAAACAACAGCTTTTATAAGATTCTCACTGAGTCATTCTCTGTAGTCATAAATATGAGGGGCTAACTTTATAGTAAGATTATTTAGTGAAAAAATGTTTGGTTTGGTTTGTTTTGTATTTAAGGGGGTTTAAAATGTATGTTTGTATGAAAACCTGGGCCAGGAAACCTTGGAGTTGGTTATATACTTTGCACACCAATTTGAAAGCATCTCTTCCCTAAAACTCTATTTAGGGTAGAGCCAATTCTAATGTTAAGAAACTAACATTCACACCCATATGCAAGGGTGTGAATTTTCTTCTAAATGGATTGTTTGCTATTATAGGAGTTACAGTCTTTACTTCAGTGGTATGAGAGTTTCCTGAAATATTGTATAAATATATTCTTTTTTCCCCACTGTGTTCCTTTACCCAATTCAAATAACTGTTAGTAAACTGAGAATCAGATATATGACACATTGCACACATTTTAATCATTCAGAACCGGCCTCAATGTCAATCTCTGAGTGGAACTTCTCAAAAGTAGCCATCATACTCTACTACGCTGAGTTTTTTGTTTTGTTTTGTGTTATTTTGAAGTAGAAATCACTCTGTAGCCCAGGCTGGCACTGAGGGTAGTACAAGATAGCCTCAAGCTCATGGAGTAAGCCTCTTGCCTCAGCCTTCTGAATGCCAGGGTTGCAGACATGAACCACCAAGCCTGGCTACACAATCCTATCCTAATTCCATAACTCATGTATGATATGCTTGATGCCTTTAAATTTGTGTTTACTGTTGTTCCTCCCCCATCCCAACAGCACACATTGCCATCTCTACTTCACATGGCAAGAGTATTATGTCTTGTCTGTCAGCATGTTCTCTGTTTTCAGAATACTGTCTGGCAGACAATAGGTGTTTTATAAATATTTCTGTGTTTGTACACATGGATTGGAATTACCAGGTAGGCTTGAATGAGTGAGTTGCACAAGTCTTTCTAGAAAAGGGCAGCCTAAATTTATATTACCAAAGTTGATGTTTGGTTCCCTGGAATGATCAAAATTCCTTCATCATTCCCTGCCCTCCCATCGATCTTGGGGCTTTGTGTGATTCTGGGCTAAGAACAAATCTTCACATAGGAGTTGGTAACTCTATCTGGAGAAGTAGCCACATAAACATCAGTGGCAACCAAATGTAGTCATTTTCAGATGAAAACCAAATTTAGCAGTGGGCCAAGAACAAACCTCACGTGCATACTCCTCTGGCTTCATATTTTGAACTCGGTTTATAGCTTTATACATCATCTTTTCTCGGAAATCATTAACGATCTCCCGTTCAGTAACTCCCGAGCCACTGCTGGTAACCAGGACATAGGTGCTTTCATCAGCTCTGGCTCGACCACGGGCCTGGGAACAGAAACAAAGGAAGTTCTGGGTCTTGCTATGAGCTGTCTGGGTTTGGGCCTGGGAAGATAGTCTTTGGTGGGTATCACAGTCTGCAAATGATCTCTCCATTCTTAGAAAAGGTAGTCATTACCCATGACTTGTAGATAAACTTTTTCAGACTTAAATGTGCTTTAATGCAATGTTCTAGAATGATTTTTGACAACTCTAGGAAGCCAAAATAATATACCACCCTTATAGCTCCATAGCACCGGGAGCAACTGTCATCAACCACAAAAAAAACCTGAGCAGTGGCTTGGACCAGTGAAGCCACCTATTTGGAAGGAGGATGAATGAAGACAAGACATATCTCTGGCCTTGGCACCAGGGCTTCTGAGCACACCAAAGTGTTCCTGTCAGCCTACTTTGGACTTTAACCCCCTCCCTGGGAAACATACACAATAAAGAGTCAAATTTCTGTGGGCTCCATATGAAGGTAAAAGTTAGGCACATCATTTTGTTTTTTGTTCTCTGAAACTTTCCTTTATGTAAACAACAAACTATGATAATATTCACCTCCCATTTGCTCCCTCCGACACAAGTCTCTTCCCTTCCTCTACATCCACCTCCATGCCCTCTCCTTGATTTTTAATGACAACTACTGCCACTCATTCAGTGCTGCCTATGTGTGCATGGCTAGGTACCAGGGCCACTCAATGGAGCATAATCAATCTGACAAGGTGGAACTCACCAGACCCAACTGATCACAGGGAGCAACAGAGACACATTTTCAGTAGCAGAAGCTTGGGTGCCTAGCTCAAGAGCTTAACTGTCAACCTTAGTACTATTTTTCGGGCAAACTGCTTTCCTAATTGTAGTCGGAAAACTCTGACTTATATACTGATCACTTCCCGAAATAACCTTGCTTTCTAGCAGGATAGCTGCCCAATGACCTTCATCTTCAGTAACTTGTCATCCACCAAAAGATGAAATAAAACTCCTTCCATGTTCAAAGGAGAATGTCACACATTTTCTTTGTGATAACTCTTCTACACACCATGACATTGTTAGTGTGGGTAAGGACTGTGACATTTGGGCCTAAGCTGAGAATTAGTCATTTACTTATCTTAGTGGTAACCCCACTCAATATTTTATGGAAAACTAAATATGCAGAAAAGTTGAGTGGCTGGAGGCAATAAACAAAGAGCTGCAGGGCTCCCTGAGGTCTCAATGGGTTTCTTTGTCAGACATTTGTGGACAGTGTGGCTCACATTCCTGATCCCATAGGGGCTCACTGATATCTTAAGACTGAGGAGGCCTCTTTTGATCCTTGTAACAGGGGCCAATATTATGCATGGTCTTGGAAAATCTCAGGACATGGAAATAGCAACCAAAATAGGCTTGTTAGTTACATTGTAAGAGGTTGCCATCATAGTTCAACAAACAACAGTTGTACAAAAGGCTTTCCCTTATGGTTTTTAAAGACTGGTCTTTAAACACTGGCATATACTTAAAGTTAACAGGGTTTTGTGTTGTTTTAGTAGAAGGGTAGAATACACACAGGAACACAGGGATAGAGAGAACCCGTTAGATAGTAGTGATCTCTGAACATACCTGGACCATGGCTATTTCATTAGTGACAAGGCCATAACGGATAACGATATTGCATTCTTTGATATCCAGGCCTTCCTCTGCCACTGTAGTAGCGATCAGCAGATTTATTTTTCCACTGCGAAATTTACTAATGACTTCTTTTTGTTCATTCTGTGGAAACATTTTAATAAATTAAATTTTGTGATGCTAAACACATTCGGATCTTCTAATTAGGAGAAGAATTAATAAATTGCAACTGGTCAGTGTAAATCAGAGGATTAGATCATACATGGATTTGCTGCCATCTGTTTTTGGCAATGAACAAAGACATGATGGTGAGACAACATTTGATTTCCAATCTGGGATTACCACACAATAACAAAAATATTTCCATCCTGCAGTCTGGAGGTGGGAAGAACATTCTTTATGCCAAGGAAATAAATTGATGGGCGATTTGGGAGGAAGAAAAGGGAGAGGTATTGCTGGCTGAGAAAAGGTTTGGCAGGGACAGGGTAAAATAAGGTTTACCTTTCAATACATTAACCCGAGAGTCTGATATTTAGGGACTTAAATTCACTAAACCATTTATTTCAGTTTTGGGACAGAGATAATTTACCATGGATATTACAATTGATCACTTTAAGAATCATCAGGGAAGTGGGGAGGGGACAACTATGGAACATTCCAGAAAGGATACAGGGAGGGGAGCTGGAACAGTAGGAAGCAGTGTTACTCTTTAATTTTACTTTGAGGAAGATTTAACTTTAGCCAGAGAAAATACAAGTTCTAGACAAAAGACAATCAAAATGAAAAGTGGATGACTATGTGATTAAAGCCTAATCACAGAGAGTATTTTTTAAAAATGGGAACTTCAGAGGTTAATATAAGTCTATTGAGATCTGACTTCTAACCTTTGCATTGGAAAAGCAGCTTAGCACAAATCCCATCTGACATGGATGGTCAGTGCTCCTTTATTCCCTCACAAGCCTCATCAAAGTTGCCAGCTTCTGGGACATTCAGTGCTCACTTTTATCCTTATAAATTAAGCAAAATTAGCCTTCTAGACCAAGTGTGGCTTTGGAGCCTGTCCTGGAACTAGCTCTTGTAGACCAGGCTGGTCTACCTCCCCAGTGCTGGGATTAAAGGCTATCACCACCACTGCCCAGCTCCTTTCTTCTTAAAGGTTAATGTGAGCTTTTGTTTGTCTCATCACTGTGGAGGAACATGCTAGAAAGGTCCTTGACAAACCTTTGGCCACTTCTACCTTATTCCTTCACCACATTAATTAAAAACAACAACAAAAAAAAACAAAAACAAAAAACCACGCATTTGATTTTAACATACACCTGTGCCTTCATTTCAAAGAATACTTGAATATGAAATTCCAGGTTCAAGGCTAGGCCCTCAGATCAAGTATGTGCCTGACTGTTATTCCTTTCTAGCTCACAAGGTGAGACTGCAGGTCTGGCAGCCTCTAGCTTTAAACCACATGAGGACCTATCCCTGGGTATGCACAACTATTTAGTGTCATAGTGGGAGATTTCGAGTTCTCTTTTCTTAAACACTAAATGGATTTGGCTTGTTCCACTGTGTGCAACAAAGATGGCTATCAACGAAGCATCCCCTCCCCAAGCAAGACTCCAGGGAAACTTAGCTTTCAGAAGAATATTTAAACAACTTACATGTTTAAATGTTTAAAACAGTTTACAAGTGTCTTTTTTTTTTCCTCAGAAGTGGTTTTTACTGTACATACAATAAATACTTTTTAAAAATCAACAAAGGAACAGAAACCTCAAGACTGGCTGTCCTTAACACAGCCAGTACATTAACTCTTCTAGCGTCTTACAGATTTCACCTTACAAACATTTGTACAACTTTGATTGTAATCCACACATCCTGTGCAGTTTTGAATTCCCACTGGATTTTATATTGCAAACATTTCTTGATGTGGTTAAGGTAAAAGTTACTCATTTTTATAAGAGGCGCCAATCTTCAGAAGTCCCTGTGACTGTGTAAAAAGCAAGGGGAATTCGGAGGTGACACTTAATGTTATTAGCCTACCACCAATTCCAAATGCCAGAAACAAGAGCCCCCTTGTGAATCTGTGAGGTGGTGGAAGAATTGAGAAACATTACAAGCAATGAGAAAAGACATGCTCAGGTGTAGGAAACAAACTCTGAAAGGATGCCATACCTGTGTCATGGGCTTGACCTCACTGCTATGTCCTGCTCCAATCAAATGATGTGCTTTGACTCCAACCTCTGCAAACTTTTCATTTTCCATAATCCACTGGGAGAGTGCATAGGTGCTCTGCCGAGTTTTTGTGAAAATAATTCCTCGAGATGATTCCTCAGTCTTTGTGAATTGTTCCAGTATAGTTTTTCTTAATTTAATGAGTTTTTCATTTTCATATTTTGGGTTTTCAGCTAATTTTTTCAACATTTTCTTGTTATCTTTAAGAGTAATTATTAATGATATTAGCTTGATTTAGCTACTCTGCTAAATGCACACACACACACACACACACACACACACATACCCTATTGTGCACCATACATATGTCTAATTTCTATTGGTTAATTAAAGAAAAAATGAACTTAAAAGCTATTAAAAATAAAATTAGTTTGCATCAGTAAGTTAAACAAAAATTTTGCACTGGCAGTTTTTACATAATAATGCAGTAAGACAGGACTCATCTGTAGGTACTCTTGTGATATATTTAGTGCTCAGACTATTTAATTAATTAATTGCAATTGTCTTGTGATATATTTAGTGCTCAGACTATTTAATTAATTAATTGCAATTGTCTTGGCAATGAAACCAGATGAGCAAATGATTAATTATGAGCACACAATTAAAAGTTAACCTGTGATATCAATTATCAACTATAGTCTTCAAGAGAATCCTTTTCGTTTAAGATGAATTTTGAAGGTGTTCTGAAAAACTCAAGGAAAGGAGTGAGTCCCTGTCTGAGAGGTCAGTGCAGGGACATGGGATCTGTGTTATATTGAGTCTTACCAAAGAATAAATTCATGAGAAATTCATCTGTTTCATCCAGCTTCAAAGACTTCTTTACATTGTCCTTAAGTTCATCATCGTGACTGCTAGCATCATCTTCACTCTCATCACTGTCCTCTAGGACTGCGAACTTCTTCTCTTTCTCATCATTGTAGAAAGTTTCTAGGTGGCTGTATGCGTCAATCATTCGGATTGTGTCGTTGATTTGTAGGGCTTCATTATACTTCCTCAAATGTTCTGCACAGACACGGTCTTTGCGATTTCCATCTTTAGCGGCTGTGGAAGAATAAACTCTATGAGTGAGGCAAAGAGAGAGAACCATCCTATAGCTGTTATAAACCTGAATAGGTTATGGCTCAGAAGCCAGCTTTATTGTGGTGTTGGAATGGGCAAGGCTTCATATGTGCCATGGGTTCTAAAGGGGGTGTTTTTCAATGCCAAAGCTTGCTGCTTGAGCTCAGTGTGAGCAGGAATGTGGACCTGAAACATATCTGCACAGCTTGAAAAACACGTCAGGAAAATTGCCTTTGGAGGCAGAGCTGTTGATAGCTGCCTTAGTACTTTATATATAATAAATGAAAGTGAAAACTGGATGAATTGACACCTCTTTCCTTAGATGAGGGGCTTGAACATGTGTGGGCTTGCCCTACACACAAAACATAAATTCTACTGGATGCTCCATCTGCCTTCAGATTGCTTCTGAGTCTGAGAGGATCATCTTAAATCTTGGTGTAAACAAGGAAAAAACTGTTATATCAAAACCCAAATTACCTTTTTTTTCCATTTGAATGGCCCATTGTTCGTAAGGCTGTGTTCCAAAATCTGACATTGGACTCATTTGGCAGTAAGTCTGGATGCTTGTCATAATTTCCAGAAGTTTCTCTTTAAATGGATTCTAAAACCATATAATATATATTACTAAAGTTGTTTGAAATGGCATTGTCTTTGTGAAAGTAATTTACACATTGTAATGTAACTGGTTCAGAGTCACTAACTAGACAATATAGCAGAACAGTCTCTGATCACTCCTTTGTTCATTACTTTTGGTTTTATCATTTTGCCTCTACCTTCAGGACACACCAGTCCTGACACCATAAATCTCTATCATAAAATTGCCAATCTAAATTTTTTAAAAACGTAAAGTGAGTATCACAAACCTTGAAAGTTAAAGGCAACTACAGATGTTTATTGAGTTAATGTCACAATTATTTAGAAAATTTTTAATTGTATTTAGGTAACATTCCTGTGTGAATACTAGGTTTCTCTACTATTACTTTCAAAATGAAAGCAATTGACATTGTTTGGAAAAAATCCAGATATGAAAGCATATATGTTACATGATTCAAATTGGATAAAGTTCAAAATCAGTCAAAAATAATAGTTTCTCTTGGCATGGGGACTAGAGCGAGAAGGAGGTTGTGATGTACTGTTTCTTTGTTTCTTTATCAGAATTTTTTTTATGTTTGGTAAATTTATGAAAATCCATAGGCACATTTTGTGCTTTTCTCCTATAATTTACTGTTTCTTTATATGAATTTTTTAATGTTTGGTCAATGTTCTCCATGCATCAAACTTTAATGAAAAGTAATTTTAAAAGTTAAGGGGAAAAAAAGAAGCTATTTTTTTTTAATTAGTGAAAATATTCACCAGAAAAGCATTGGTATATTAAATATTTCACTTTGTATTTTTATAATCATTATTTTCCAAAGGGGGGAATACACAAATGAGAATTCCTATTGGTACTCCTAACTGCCACAAAATGGCTCCTTCAAATGTCAGAAAACCAATCCCGGAAAACACCAAGACAGTAAGAGGGCATTGACTCCTATAATCCCGCCAGTTTAGCCATCCATTTTCCCCCAGCCCAATACTTTCACTCCTCCAAGAATCAGATGTAGTCAAGTACTGAGCTACTTTCCATGTAAGCCAGAAGAAGGAGAACGGTGGAGTCTTTGCTGCCTTGTACAAGTTTTTTAAAGTGGAAAATGATGGCTTTTTGATAAAAATATTAAATGGAAATATTCAGTTGGTGAATGTAAAATAGCCCATGCCATCTTTTAATTCAATACAGTGTTGACAGACAAATTCATGTGAAATGTTTTAGAACATACTTCTCTGGTGTCATCAGCAATCACAAATTTCTTGCATGGTTCCTTTATTTGGTGTTTAAGTTGACCAAGATTCTCTTTCACTGTTTTAATGGTAAATGCATCAAGATTGGCACATATCTGGAAAAGAGACATTTCAAGTATTCTTGCTACTGAATGTATAATTCTGTGTCAGTAAAGTATAACATGTAGTTTTTAGCATAAATACATAGCATAACACTTTATTCAAGTAACATGCAACATTATTTGTTGTTAACTGTAGCATTTTAGGATTACTTACTATGGATTTAATCAACTAATGATCAATAATATTTGTTTTGGTGTCTTCTAAAAGTGTGTCCTAATTCCTTTTTGTCTTTAAATTCCATTTTGTAGCTGTTATATAGGACTTAGAAAAATAGAACAATTTATGCAAATTAACAGTATAGTTATGTGGTAACTATTACCTGATTCTATCAGGCTTCTGAATTCACACTCATGCTCACGCTCATACATTATAACCTTATTCTTTTCTGCATACAAAGAAGACAGCACAAAGGGAGGGGATGCCTTACTCTTTGTGCCGAGATCCTAGGTAGAAGTTAGGCCTTTAGTTCCATAATACGTTATGTCCTGGAGACAACCCTTTCCTGAATGCTTTTTACTTTAATAATTTCTACTGAGTTCATCCTAAATTGAGAGGCTTCTCAGGTGCTCAATCAACAGCAGCATTGTGATGGCAGCCCTAGTAGGGAAAGTTGATGACTGCGTCTTTAATAAAAGATCCTCCTATTTCTATTTCCCACTCCTCCCACCCACACACATCCCCAAACCCTTTTTTAGAGACAGGGTCTCACTCAGCAGTATTAGCTGGCCTGGAGCTCTCTATGTGAACTCCCAGCAATCTGCTTGGCTCTGCTTCCCTTTTGCCAGAATTAAAGGCAGGAACCACTACATTTGCCTCTTCTCTCTTTTAATTGGAGTAACCGATATCCTAAACTGACAACATAATGGAAAAAGACACAAACAGCATGCTGCCTTGAAAGTCATGGAGTAACAGCCTTCAGGAATGGAAACTGTCAACATGTGTGTTTAACTGTTTCTGTATCAGGAAGATCATGAAGTTTAAGTGCAGAAGTAAAACAGCTACACAGGCATTCTACTCAGCCCATACTTCTCATTAATTTTGGTTGTGAGCTTAGCCATTAGTGGCTGAGCCGTCTCTGTAGCCCTTCTCATTAATTATGTCCAGCTTCATAACAATTATGTTATTGCTCTGTATTGCTTGAATTTATGAAGGATATCACCATGTTGTAGAAAACTGAGGCTGTTTTCTAGAGGCGAAGCAAATAGCCTTCATTTCACTGATGATTTTGGCACTTGAACTCTCAACACTACTTAAAATCCTAAGAAGCCTAGGCATTTGACACAACTTGTTTGGTTATTCACAAACCCAATGACTTACATTTAAAATATGTTTTTCAGCCTCCGCTTGCTTTTTGGCTCCTCCAACACCAGGTGAAGCTGTCAGTCCTAGAATCTGTGGCAGGTGAATTACTGGTTTGTTTTGTTTCTTGAGGCTATTGTTCTTCAACTTCTGCTTCAAATACCGCCTCATGATATTGTTGTAGACGGCCTCCTTATTGGTGTGATGACATTCATCAATGATAATGAGGGAAAAATCTTAACAGAAAAGGTACAAGGTCTGTTTACCCAAAATGGCATGGTACAATAAGACAAACACCTTGATGCTCTAAAGGAATTAGCTGCCATTGTGTGTCTTTCATTGGGCAGAATATTGGTACAGTCCTGCCTCAGTCTGCTGGCATGACTTCCCCCATTATTACCATCCATGAAAACAAAGTTTATGTATGCTAATCGGGCCTCTGTTCCTATTAGCTGCTATCACTGTCTCAAGATTCAGAAAGTGTTAGTGAAATTCACATCTTTCTTCCAAATAAACAAACAACAACAAAAACAAAATTGTCCCAGGGCTCCACTTTTGTTCTTGAATAAAATTTGAATTTTAGACCAACAAATTCTATTTTTGTTACACTGAGTGAAACATATGCGATTTAAAGAGGGATGATTTTGTGTTGTTTGAACTTTGCATTAATTATTGTGATTTACTTTTACTTTTCTCTGTCTTTCTCTTAATCATTTAACCATCCCAAATAAGTAGGACTGTAGTTTTATTCTACAGTAAAGAATATAATTGTAGCTGGGAGGTGATGGTTCATGCCTTTAATCCTAGCACTCTGGAGGCAGAAGCAAGGGGAACTTCGTGAGTTCAAGGCCAGCCTGGTCTACAAAGCTACACAGAGAAACCCTCAAAAAGCAAAACAAACAAACAAACAAACAAATAAATAAATGATAGTTGTTGTAGGGTATATCATCAAATTAAAAATTATATACGTAATTTTATATATTATAATGTAATTATTCTGTCAGAGAGACACAAGCAGAATGATAGCACAAAGGAAAAACAACTAATCTCTCAAAGAAGGATTCAGAAGAACTCTGGTAAGCTGTGGGTCAATCAAAAATTAAGCTGAAAGTGTTTGTGTGTGTGTGTATGTGTGAGAGAGAGAGAAGTAATGGAAGAACATAGTTCGTGCTTGATGCTTGATTTAGTAATGATATACTTGTGCAAAAGCAAGCCATCAAGTCAAACACTTTTCTGTTTTTGTTCACGTTCAAGAAATAGAGCACTTTGATGAAAAGCCTTATGAAATAAAAAATAATTTAGTAAGCTAGGGTTAATTTTTATCATATAAAAATAACTGAAGGAGAAGCCCCTGCTACTGTTTTTAATATTTCTAAAAATGATCACTCCAACAAACCTGACAGCTGCACACCATCATCTTCTCCACTTTCTAGATTTAAGAGAGAATTCTCCAGGATCTGAGCTGTGCTGATGATAACATCATAAGATTTGACAACTTCTGGGAACGATATTTTCAGCTGGGTATCACCACTTAATCCAATAATGCGATACCATTTCTTCAAAAATGGGTTGAACTCTTTGCGGAAAAGTTGTTCAGCTAACATCACCTTTAAAGATGAGAACATACAGAGATTTTAAAGACTCAGACGAAATAGAGTAAAGCAAAGTGAAAGACACAGAGGAATATCAGCCAAAGGAATGTGTGTGAACTGGTAAGAGAAATGCTTGCACTGAATCAGTTAATTAGAAATTACATCTATGTATCATTCCATCTATTCATCTGACATTAAATACCCATCATGTTTGCATTAGATGTACACTGCATCTTGAACATAAAGGTATGTAAGATAAGGCTAAGGACTCAGAGTAACTCAGTCTAGGTGAGAACATGTTCTAGAGATCATTTATTCTTGTGCCTGTGATCCTTCTAGGGCTATTTGACTATTAGAGTGGAAAGAACAGAGAACCTAGACTGTAGCATCATCATACATTTGGTAGGACAATGTGTGGGATGGGAGAGAATGAACTACAAGAAAGGCTTTGGCATCTTCATAAAAACAAAGTAGCAAGCAAGGGTGAGTGAGGTAGAAATTCTGCTTCCTTTCCAGCCAACTCTGTTACAATATCTGGTGACAGCAGCCACTGTAACCCCAGTGACATCCCCACATTTCAAGTCACTCAGCATACCTCCTGGACCAAGGGAGAGATGAGCTAGTCTGTCTTATTTTTAAATTTTGTTTTCTTTTGTTTGAGAAAGGGTACTAACACTTAGTATGGGCTGGCTTTGTATTCCCTATGTGCTGGAATTATGAGCACGTACTGACAAGCATGATTTGTGTTGTGTGAAGTATTGAAAATTGAGCCCCAGGCTTCCTGTATGTTAGCCAAGTGTTCTGACATCTGAACTATATGGCCAGCCCCAGTCAGGCTACCTTGAAGGTCCCTGTTGTGAACATATAACTATGTAAAGATGTGTTACATTTGTTATACTATAGAATATTACTTTAACTGTTTAAAGGTGTGTTACATTTGTTTCTGCTGCTTTTGTTTAATTATGAAAAGATGTGTTGACATTTTACCTTGCCTGCCGAAGGTACTTGATTGGTCTATTAAAAAGCTGAGCAGCCAATAACTAGGCAGGAGATGGATAGGTGGGGCTGGCAGGCAGAGGGAATAAGTAGAAAGAGAAATCTAGGCTCAAGAGAGGAGAAGAAGAAAACAAGGGAGTAAAAGAGGGAGACAGCCAGGTGCCAGCCAGACAGACACAGAAGATGCAGGAAAAGCAGGACATACAGAAAGAAAAGGTTAAAAAGCCCTGAGACAAAACATAGATGAAGAGAAAGAAATAGGTTAAGTCATAAGAGGATAAGCTAAGGCCAAGCATTCATAACTAAAAAGAAGTCTCCATGTCATGATTTGGGAGCTGGTTGATGGCCCAAAAGAAAAAGCCTGCTATATAGGTTCTGTACTAGGAGGATGTAAAAGTGGAAGTTCAGGAGTATACAGTAATAGCAAATAGAAAATTGGCAGGAAGAACATCATGGCCAGACTTCAGCACATGCAGATTCTATGTCTCATAATTACCATATTACCTGATAATGTAGTCACTGTTGGATAATCCTGAAACTCACTCTGGGTGGCATTGACTTCCTACTGAAGGACACAGAGAAAGCCAGATGCAAGTCTGACATGGCTAATTGGGAGGTGTGTGGTCCTCTTGGAGCCTTTTCCTGAGATGTGACATAGTGCGTGCCAAGACTAATCAAGCCCAACTGCTACCCACTTCTGCTGAATCATATGGGGCTGCATTACAGCATCTCAAGGAACCTGGGATTTATCCCTCGTGATGTTGAAGCCCTAGATAGGAAATGGAAAGTCTGGGCGCACAGGTGGTGTTTGCATTTCTCTCCACACTTGAAGGCTATAACTTTGGAAAGGATGGAGAAAAGGAAATGGTATTAGAGACCAGGATTTCTGTATTCTAGATTAAAAGTTATAATACCTCACTATTTGGCTAAGCATGAATATGCTGTTTTACTAAGTCAAAGATTTCCTGACAAAAATAATTGAAGCTGAAGCTACTTTAATTAAATTAAAAGAAAAAGTATAGTAATCAATTATGATGCAAATAGAGATCGAGTGGGAAGACTTGGTAATCTCAAGGAAAAGAAGAATGGGAAAGAAAAGCACTGAGTGATGCTCTTAATGCTCATTCCATGGAGAAATGCCATTTGAAAAATTCATATTTCATGTGTGCTTTGATGTATAGCAGTAAATGTTCAGTTACTCTACGAAATACAAATAGCTGTCAGTATTGGAATATCTTTGTTTAGTCTTCTAGATTTTGAAAATAGCCAAGAAGTACTTGGACCTGAGGTACCTAGTTCACAGCCTATGCTAAGTGCTCAGACCTCAGGTCCTTAGACCTGAAGTACCTAGCTCACAGCCTATGCTAAAGCTGATGCAGGATCCATCCATGCAAGTATAGGACAAATAAAATTTGCTTTGATTCTAAAAAGAATCCAAGTGGATATATATATAATGAAAATTATAAACATTAAACTTTTCAATTTATTTGCACGTATAAGAATTACCTACATTTTATGGGTTGAAAGATTCCCAGTTGGAATAAGTCATCAATCAGACATGGTAGACCATTACAAAATTAGATCAAGGGCTAGAGAAGTAACCCCGCAGTTAAGAACACTTGCTACTCTTTCAGAGGACACAGATTCAATTCCCAGCACCCACATGGCAACTCACAGCTCTCTGTAACTCCAGAGGATCCAACAGCATTTCATGGCCTCCATAGGCACGAGGTACTCACAGACACACATGTAGGCAAACACTCACACTCATAAAATAAGAAATAGATCTAAAAAGACAAAATCACATGAATAAGAAAAACACTGAGTGCTTACACTGAAGCTTGAAAGCTAGTTGCAGAAAAATAAATTTAAAGGTTTTAGCTTAGTATGGTATTCAAATGAAAAGGAGCCAAGGACTTTAAGCTGATAGCTAGATGCTCCAAAAATCAAAGTCTACGATGTACGAATGTACTAAGTCCTAGGCTCATCTCTCCTTCACATTCTTAAGACTGCATCTACAGCATGTTTCCTAATTCTAAATTCTATGTCTGAGAGAACTCCAAATCTCAAGGGGCCTGGGAACCATACTGCATGAATAATGAAAGGATGTTGCCTTTTCTTTGTTGCAAAGCAGGAGAACTAGGTTTGTGTCCCAGAATGACCAAGGAAAGAATGACCATGTGTTCCATAGAACACATATGTTTGGGCAAATGCATGAATGGATTTCTTTGAGTGGCAAGTGTGGAAAGAATGTTTGTGGTTATTTTGGAAGATGGGAGGTATTCTTGGTACCAGGCCTTAGCCAGCAGAAGTGACATATCTCTCAGCAAAGAGAAAAAGCTATATCACAAAGATCCTCTCAGGTCTAATTGTCTATGATCCTATGACCACATATTGGAAATTAGGGAAGGAAATGAATGAAAAATAATAATAACTGGGCTTTGAATCTTTGAATGTTCCCGGTATGGATGAGGTGGCAAAAACAGAGAATGAACCTTTGAGAGGAGAGTAGATGAGGCTGAGGTTCAGAAAATGGCAGAATTGCCCCAAAGAAACAACGGCATCAGTTTAAGTGCCTGAATTCATTTAACAGCATTATTTTTTTCCTATGGACACCTATAGGACTTATTCCTTCCCGATATGTAAAGTATTTGATTTCATCAAGTTCCATGTAAGAAAGATATGAAAGTTTAATGAGCCACTATTAAACTCCTTTTAATATGTGCACACACACACACACACACACACACACACACACACACACACACACACACACACAGAATCAAATTTTAACTTCAGAACTTGGAACCTAACTTGAATTTATAGACCAGGCAACTAAAAATTTAGAGAAGGAGAAGGTTCTAATTTGTCTAATATCAAAATGCTGATGGGTAGAAATAGGATTTAAACTTACAATATTCAAAAGGGGAGTAAATGAAAGGTTTTGGGTAAATAAATATTAGTGTGTCATCACCACCAGCAAAAGAAAACCAAAACTATCTTCTTATAGTGTGTATAAAGCTGCAAAGGTCTCATGTCCCTTTGTTTTGCTTTAGGGGTGCTAGATTTCAAGCCCACAGCTCTTCCATTGACCCACAATGCCCATTTCAATGAAAGCATGTTGGGTTCAGAAGTTGCATGCAAGTTGATTGCAAGCATAGTGATGGAAAAAGAAATCACTATAGCTTGGATTCTGCCTGCATTTTTCAGTATGCCAAGCAGCTTTCAACCAAAACTTTTAGAAATAATCTATTAAAAAAACACAAAGTTTTAAAAGTCTATTGATGTATTTTCTGTTAATTAATATACGAGAGTAGGAAAAAAAGCTATTGTTGTGCATGAAAATCACACTAAATTTTATTTTATAGAATAGGAAAAATTAATATTCCCAATCTACAAGTATATACATTTTCATCTATTTAAATAAAATACAAAAATAATTTTGTTTATAATGTTAAGAGGAAGATGTGTTTGGTGCCTTCAGAAGATAAACATTTCCGAAGAAAAGTTCAATAGCATTTACTGTAACATATAACATATATTTACATAAATTCTTTAACCATCATTCACCTATTTAACTGAAATAGACAAAATATTCACTTAATTTTCTCTTTGGCTTTCAGTCACATTCTGTATGTTCTGGATAAAGGGGATGTTTGATTAAGGATTAGTGGCTAAAGGGACTTTAAAGGCAGGCAGTTGGTCCTAGATTCCAGGGACATTTTCAGGTCACACATGCTCACATTCATTGCCCTTCTACTGTGTGTTAGAAAATTTAATTTGTATACAAAAGTTAGAACAATTTGATTTAATGTTGTAGTTTTATGGGAAAAATCTTAAAGTTAATCTTTTAAATTTTAGGTAAATAACAGAAAACGAAAATAAACAGTTTCTTTGACATTACACACAAAATCTGTGTGATTTGTTGTTACAAACGGTTATCATCTAAACATTTCAGAATAATGAAGCAGAAATAAGAATACTGAAGCAAAAGTGAGTACCTTATTGACAAGGACCATAACCTTCCCGGGTTCAGATGCCTGCTTCCTCTTGTCTAAGTGATCTTTGGTGATGTAAACAGCCACTCTGGTCTTCCCACTCCCCGTGGGAAGGCAGATAATAATATTCTTCCCTTCCAAAGCTGGTTGGGCCACTTCCATTTGGTAAGGTCTGAGCTGCAGTTCTGGCTCAGGGGATGCTCTTTGTGGCCTCATTCTTTCCTCTGAAGGAAGTAAACAAGAAAAAGCAACATCAGAGAAAGGGCAACGAAGAAACTTAAGCTTGGAAGCTGGGAACTGCACACGGGCTTCTGGTGGTTTAAGTCCCTTTTCTCTATGATTTAAGCCAAACAGTTTTCTCTTTTCTGTACCAGAGAGTGTCAGCTTTGTCTTCAGGACATCATCTATGGGTTCCCTACCATGAAGTGAATTAACAGCATGGTGCCTGTGGAGGAGAGGATATGGGGAGACCAAGGGGAGCACACATTTCTCTTGGCTCTCAGAAAGGCTGTGGTATAGGATTGTCGGTTCCCATTATGTACCAGGTTTCTTAGTTCTTTGTGTCCCCCTGGTTTCTCTTAGCCCCTCTACCTATAAACCAAGAGGAGCTAAAAAGGCAGGAGTGATTAGCTCTCACTTTCATTTCTTTTTTATTAAAAAGAAAGAAAAATAACAGCTGGAACTACTTACTTAATTTGCTAAAATATCACCTGGCAACTAAATGCCACAAAGTACATACCTGCTGTCATATATCTGTGGGGCTTTGGGAGCTCAAGGCCTGCATATAAACTGAAACATTACTTGTGCAGTGTGTGGTGGGAAATGTTCTTCTGTATATATGTTTGCCTTATTGGTTGATGAATAAAACATTGATTGGCCAGGCAGGAAGTGACATAGCATGGCAGATACTGCCACTAGCTAACCACAGAGGTCAGGAGGTCTGTATAGACAGGCAGGAAGTGAAGTAGCTGGGCATAATCAGAATATAAGCAGGGACAAACAGGAAATCCCTCTCTTCTCTGCAGAGATGTAGCAGGCAAAGGAAATGCAGGTCTGGTATTCTCACTAAGCCAAGACCACGTGGAAGTACTTAGATTAATAGAAGTGAATTAATAATTAAGACAGAGCTAGCCAATAAGACACAGAGAGCAAGCATGCATAAACATACTGACACAGAGAATGGGGAAATCTTCAGCATTCAAGGCAACTAGGTTGTACAGCATATTAAAGAAACAGTAGGACAGCACTTCCTATACCGGCTTTTAATTGATAATGTTTCCACCAAAATATAAAACATAATTGCATAGCTTTAAATTAAATTGCCATGAATTTTACTGTGTAGTTTTAAATTGTCATTTTATGACTCCTTGCACCCAAAAACAAAATATATTACAAGTATTTCCATAACACACATTTTTAAGTAAAAAGTACTGACAAAATAAATGCTAATAGTGATTTTATAAATGCTAGGATAATCTTATTATAACATGACTTCGTTTAAATGTATTTTGTTCAGAGGTGACCATGTATTCCCATCTTATTAGCTGAGAGGAAAGGCTCTAAAAATGCATTGCTTGCAGCATGGAATGTATTAGAACAAATATTTTCCAACTTAAACATCCACCTGTGCTTTAAAGCATCGGAAAAGGTGAAATGACTGCTTATCAGCATCTCACCACACATGAAATGAATGCTCACCCCCTTATCAACGGTCCCAATGAAGCTAAGCTAACACTGTCCCATTAACTTAAAAAAAAAACTTGCTGACAGCTCCATTTCCACAAACCATTGATCCTCTTTGAGTGGGTTTTAACTTGCTGAAAGAGAACTAGCTGAACAGGTAGGAAAATTCACACCAAATACCACTTTGTAATAACTATCTACAGAATAAGCAGGAAGTGTGTCTTCTATGCATGACTAACCACAGATGTAATGCATTTAAGCTCTGGTTGGATCATCTGCTGAGTCATTTAATTTGTTTTTCATGAAAAACATCTCACAGATCATCAGTGTTTTGAGTTCACTTCCCATTATATTTCTATAAGGTGCAGGTTCAGTTAACAATGTAATGGTAACATTTTGTTCCCAGCAAAGCGGATCCCATAGATAATGAAAATCTTCATGTTTCTTCTCTACTAAGAGCATTTATTACCCAACTTTTCCCCCAAAGAGCTAGAATATTTATAATGAAAGACATAATTTAAGCAGTACCTAAATCAAGACATGACATTTTATATCAACCAATGCTCTGTTAATTTTGCTCAATCAAAATTTTGGTACATATCTAAAAACAATAAAATATAGCATTCCTTATAGCAATTGTACATACTTGTTAGTAATCATTTTCCCCTTTTGTTGTTAGGTTTTCTAGTGTATCCTTTGGTAACAAGACTTAAAAAGAGAAACAGGATTTTCTAGGTCTCTTTTGTAGAAGCCCAAAGCCCAGGTAAAATGAATGACCTCTCAGTGTCGCTTATACTGAAAGTGAAATGTTCCCAGTCTCCCGTGTTTCCACTGCAGCAGGTAGCTATGCTTGGGGAGGGAGCTTCGGAAGGTTGGGTCCAGCTGGAGCAAGTGAGTAACTGGGCTGAGGCAAGGGGAGACTTTGAGAGTCATAGCCTGGACAATCTTGCTTCCTGTTAGGCTGCCAGAGAAATAAACAAGACAACTCACTCTCCAGGTTCTACATCCCGGAGCCACACTCCTCACCATGCTTTCTGTACCAACATGGACTATACCCTCTGAATCATAGACCAGAGAAATTCTTTCTTTCCTTAAGTTGGTTCTTGTCAAGTATGTAGTTAAATGATAAGAAAAGTAACCAGTACAACATAGGAGGATTTTACTATATTATTATAACTCAAAAGGATTAGAACAGTCTAAGGGCTATTATTTTAAAGATTTAACTATATAACCAAGGTTATGAGGTTTTACTGCTACTGAACGGGTCATATGACATTAATTCATTCTGTAGGCACCTATTGCATACCACATCCTGCCAAAGTCAGTTTGCTTCTCAAAGGACCTTAGTACAGGGAACTGTATTGCTTGCACCTAATGCATTAGGCTAGATAAACAAATAATCCTATTTATTTTTGAGTCAGGACTAGGAGGTGTAGTGGGCAGCCCAGAGATTTAAAACAGAAAATCAGAGCATATTCAAGGAAAAAAAATAGAGTTGGATTCAATGTTAGAATAGCATCCAAGGAAAAATGCTGGGTTAGTGCTAAATATTCGGCCTGATTCTTGCCTTCTCACATCTTCTGACACAGGGATGGAAAAATGTATCCATATAAGCAATGAAAACGGAGTTACATCTCTGTCACCAGAAGGAGAAAGCTGGGCTGGAATCAATGAGCCCTGAGCTAGAATCAAGTAAAAATGAAATGTTTGGTTTTGCTTTCTTTATTTATTCTTGGCTCACTCTGATGTAATCAATATAAACCAATTATGTAATCAATAGAACCAAAATTATAAACCATTCAACCCAATTATATAATCCATGTAACCCAAATTATAATCAATTAAAATCCAATAATGGAAATGGCATTAAAATCACAGACAGGCTTTGAAGGATGCTGCCCATTTCCTTTAAAATAAAAGCCAGTGGAAGATCTTTAAATTATACTTCAACATGTAAATGGTCAAAAAGGAAATGAAATAGAGTTTAAATAATTCTATTTTATTGGAACTACAGCATGTGGCAAACTTCATTCTCACATGGGTTTTGACAACTGAGTTATTCTTGGAGAGAAAAGGTCTGCCACTGCATGTGTCTGAAATCGACAAAGCATCCTTTTACCTATAGTGTGTAACCATAGGAAAAACACACTCCTATTGAACAAATATTAATAGACATCTTCTCAAAATAGCAGGAGGCACATTCTCCATAGTAGGTCAATATGGATTGACAAAAAGTGCCACTGCTTTGAGAAGCAATATATCTTTCTAAAAATGGGGGAGGAGAAATCTTGTCACCTAATTAGACTACTTAAAGTTGGAAAATGCCAGCAATCACATTCTGCTATAGTATGAGACTTCTCTGAAGATCACAATACAATTGCCTTGGTTCTCATCATGTTACTTTGGAAGGGGGAATTAAGGATGTGTGGATAAAGGTGCCTTATGATGTCAGCCTGGAAGGTGAAAATAATGTCAGCTCTTACAGTATTAAATGATTCAGTATGCATGTTAACCTTTCACCAGTTTACCAAAAGCTTTTATTAAATGACTTCTATACAATTTTAGTATGCACTTGGGGGTCAAATATTTCATAAATGTTATCATTTCAGGATTTTAACTGCCCACTATCCAAAATCATTCTTTGCTCTTAAACACTCATCCATCTAGACCCTGAAGAGCGCCCCAGGAAAATGTGCTTGCCTTTAAAAATGTTATTTGCTTTTAAAAATGTATTTGCTTTTTAAAAGTAGGTTGTGCTCAGATTTATCACGTCTTTCATGCCACACTGAAGACTAAAAATCAGCAAATACATTTGCTAACAGCTCTAAGTAGGCAAAATGCCCTGCAAATAGAGGATGTGTTTTAGATATTTATTGAATGGATGAATATTGTTGAAAAGCCCTTCCTTAGACAAATACAAATTAGGATAGGGCAAAGCAGCTTGAAACAATCCATATGGATCGTAGCTATCAGCTAGAGTATATTTAGAGTTCTAGCATCAGTCACATACAGTGGTAAGCATTCTTCAATTTAACTCTTTCAGGACAGAGACAGAAAATCAAATTTGATCCGTGTGGAGAACTTAACAATGACCGCACCGAACAGAAAATGAACCGGCCCTTTTTAAAGACTAAGTCGTGACTGACATTTGGTGAGCTGGCTTTCCTCACACTAACTTGTGAAAGATGCACTGGTGCAATTGGGAGGGCAAAACAAAACACAAAAAACAAAAACCACCATGCACACGTAAAAGCATGGTGTAATTGCTTTTAAAGGCAGATAACCATGCTTGCGCAAAATCCTTTTCCCACTGCTGATCTATGTTTTATATATTTGACCATGCAGAACAATATGAACCACCACACAGTACTTTCTAAGTAGAAACAACCCCATCACAAAGAATAAACTAACTTACTCCTTAAGGTGCCAGTTTTCCTTTGGTTCCCTAGCTGGCTCATTGCCAAGTAGTTTTATTGATTAATTCTCACAATGCATTTTTTCCCCAAACTTTTAGACAAACACAGGAAGATGAGTAGTAGACATCAATAACTCATCGGCCACAGTTGAAAGATGTTAACCCTGTAGCTCTTTGTAATCACACATTCAATAGACAGAATGGGATAATTTGGATCAATCAAACTGACAAGTTAGGAAGTCTAATCAGAGGAAGTACTGATAAGGGAGGGGGGGGAAACTGGAAGCTGGCATTCTCACTTCCTGCAGGTGTGAGAGGCAGCCAATAAGGAGAGCAGTATGGGAGATACCTAGTCAAGTTTTCATTTGCTCTGTCTATGCTCTGTTACTATTGCATCCAAATTGGATCTAACTTAGCTCTATGTGTAATTTCTAGACTCTTAATTTAAGAGGCACCCTATTTGTTATCTGTAGCCACATTGCATTTATTGGAAACATTAATTTTGTGTCTGAGTACATTTAAAAATAACAAATAATCTGACAAGGGGTACATATACCAAACTGCACCACGAATTCAAGCGCAGTTGAATTAACTGAAACAGATCTCATGAAGGACTAGAAGACATGATTCTATGGAAGGTGGCTTATGCCTGACCAAACAGACATATACTAGATCAAAACTAGAGTTTTCTCATAAGACTTGAACAACTTATACTGTTAAAGAAAGTAAATGGCAACGTTCCAATATGACTCGCTATTGAAAAAAAAATTACTTTAATTGCATAAATCCATTAGGGAGGCTATGAACAGCCCCCATGCATTCCACTATATGGTGTCTTATTTCACACTTTTTCAGGTTTACACAACAGTTAGGCAGTACCTGAATCACTTCCCATGATGCCTGAATCACTGCCCATGTTGCTGTTATGTCCAAGACTTTCGTCTAAGCAGCTGACACTCCCTGCTGCCAAACTTGTGTCTGATTCTGCAAAGGAAAACATTTTAAAATATTTAAAAAATATTTCTGAGAATAAACGTATTTTAACTACACACCTCTACAGCACACAGTACATACAGTCCATTGCAAGTGGGGAAGGCACACCCAAGCAAGTATGAATAAAAGGTAAAAGTTTCTCACAGGCTACACTGCAAACATTCCACTATGGATGAGCAGCTGCCGGGAATGACTCAAACCCGCATTCACTACCTACAGTAACACCCAGCAGGGAAGTAAATGTGAATCCCAGCACATTTGCGTTTGAATTATGTATCTCACCTGTACACATACATTTTCTCTCCTGGAAGGAATTTCTAAGCTCAATATTGGCTTTTAAACACAAATTATTATAGAAGCCACTGGGCTGTTTGTGTATAATGACGGTGGAGTGAGCAAAGGATAAAATTTAATGAAGTCTACAGACCTACTGACCAGTTATGGAATTAACATTTCAGAGATAAATAAACATGAGTTTTAAAACCTCTAAAAGAATTTCCTCAAAGAGGATATGACTGACGTTTGGCATCACATTTGCTAAAGTCTGGGAATGTTTCTCTTTACTATAATTATATGAAGCTGCCATCAATTGAGAGTGTGAACGGCAAGTGTATGCCCTTCGCTGAGTCCCAGCGTTGCCTTCAGTAGTCAGGGTCATTCCTTTCTGACAGCCTCTTTTTCTTATCGTTTGTCTCCAAAGATGTATGCAATCTTATTGTCAGGGATCAGAACTAACCTTAAATGTCAGGGCACAGGAGTTCTTAAAGCTGACTTGGAATCAGAAAGATTTGGGAAACTTGCTGTTCAGGTTGGTCTAACCCTAGGTTCCTTTTATGTCAAATGGCTGTAGTATTATTTACCATTTTTGATTTGATAACTACTGGGCAATACTAGATACAATAACTTGATGGCAAAATAGCTGGATTAAAATGAAAACTCAAACAATTGGTATATTACCGGGGCAGGCATTCCATTTCATAATGTTCTTGTAATTAATTCTATTTCATAATATTTATGATTTGTTAGGCAATTTCCATTTTTCCTTAAAGCTTTCGAAACAATAATAAACCATATTAAAATACCTGTCAGTTACTTAAAAGCTACTATCAGTGATGCATTTTTTTTTTTTTTTTTAGTATTGAAATAGAAATAGAGGAAAACAAGCACCTTGCATGTTATCAGTACAACTGGAGAAGGAAAAGACATACAGCTCAGAGTTATCAGTGTGTTCTTTATTTTAAGTGCTTCATCATTCGGAGGCAGATCAACATAGCTCCATTATGAAGATCACTCCTTTGTGGTTAGTGAGTGTGACGAATGTTCTCAGATCTGCATGTAACCACTGCTACATTGAAGACATCTCTTTCACCCAAGAAGTCCCCTCCAGCTTCCTTGTCCCCAATGCCTTCCCGTTGTCCCCTGGCAATCACTTATCTGGTTTCTATTCTCACCGCTTTCCCTTTTCTAGAATGCCATGTAAGTGGATTCATGGAGCATGCAACCCTCCTTTGACTTAGAGTACCATATCATACATGCTTCTTGTGTATCAGTGACTTGCTGCTTTTTGCTGTGGACTCTTGTTTCTATGGAATATGTTATTGACATGTAAGGCATCTCCTACAATTTAATTAAGTCCATTTAGGTTGGACAATATCATGGAACTTCAGCCCCATGCGATCTATCAAACATGTTAGACACTGCCCTTAAAAATCAGAAGCTGAGGGGGAAAAAAAAAGTTGTTCAAAAACTCTCCACGGACATACATACTGTTTAAGTATATTAGCACAACATAAATACACTAATGTGAAAATACTGTGCTTATCAGTTGTCATAGATTAGCTCTGGAACTCGGATTTGAGTCCCTCATGTTCACACGGGAAAACCTGGATATCTCACAGAGAGATTTTAAATATGGCACTTTGCAATTCCCAGAGGTATGTCTTGTTAGAGACTCAGAGGCGAGTGTGGGATAGAACTGTCAAGTCGAAGAGCGTTTCGGGCAGATGTACTGATGAAAAGAGAATATGATTTGTAAGGAAAAGGCAAGGTGTAAAATGAGATGGGAAAATGTCATTGCGAAGATAATTCCAGTTCTAGACAGATAGGCCAAGATTTCTGTGGCAAAAAAAGTAAATTTCGACATACTCTCCACTTGTTATTTTAAATGTAGAAATGAGAGCCGAAGAGTATACTAAAGGTGCTGGGAAAATGCCAATAAATAAATCTAGAAATTGAATATTGTTACCAACAAATTTCCAGTGAGTATAGTGAAAATGGAAGTAACATTTGATTTTCTGCTCCATTCTCTAATCATTAGCAACAAAACCATAATCATAAACTGACTCTCAGTATGTGCAAAGTCAAGATTTACCCCAGCTTTGTTCTAGCACAAATAAGTTTGGGGAAGAGGATTTATACAATGTGTACAAAAAAATTACTGATAATAATGTTGCTACCATATACAGAGTGTGATTAACTTCATTATTGGGTTATGTAGATTTCACAATCAAACGTGCACTGTGTCAGAACACTAAGCTAAGAGCTTTCCAAAATACAGTGAAAATTAGGACATATCATCTTCTGCAGTAGCTACACCCATTATCAGCTCAGTTTTACAGGGGAGAAACCGATAATCAAGAAGTTAAATGACTTATCTATGTCAGCCAACATTTCAGTACTTTTGACCAACATCAAGCATGGACCATGGTTTGTGTGAAGCTCTGGAAGCTCTTGGTGCTAAACGAAATGAAGCTCACTTCAAAAAATCATTTTCCTTGTGATGTCCTATTTTCCCTAAGAATTAAAACACCTTCTCTTCCAAGACACAACTTCGAGAGATGCTTGCGCTCTGCTAATATTTCTGACTCACAGATGGACACAGACTTTCTGCTCACTCATCTACACTTATTTTACACACATTTTAGGAAGGGACTCGTCTATCTTCACAGTGCAGAAGCCGTTACAGTAACTCTGATAGAGATCTCTGTACCAGTAACAGGGAGGGCGCAGAGCCCAATTGCTTTGCCATTTGAAGTGGATCTTTAAATGACAAATCTTCACCTCCTCACAAAGGAGATGTATTTTCCTAAGCAAAAAAAAAAAAAAAAAAAATTGTGCACTTTTATTTATTCTTTCATAGAAATAGGGGAAGTATTAAAGAAAATATACTTTATAGTAAAGAAAATAGCTTATCTTCAGTAACACTGAAACTGCCTTCACTACAGGATTTCTGTCTGAACAAAAAAGAAAATCTCTCTTGAACATGTGTGTGTGTGAGCGCAAACACACACACACACACACACACACACACACACACACACACACACCTACCTCCAGAAAAGCAATGTCAAGAAATGTGTTGTGTTGCAAAAGAAAAAACAAACAAACAAAAACACCAAAACAAAATAATGTTTTGAGCTTGTAATAAACACTGAACTGGTTTAAGCAGGATTCTCCTGTTTTATCTCCATACTTTTCAAGACATAGCAGTCTGGTAGGTCCCAATACCCAAGGTCATGTATGATACACAAAACAGAAGGGTTGAGGAGGCTGGGTTTTGCCAGGAAGAGAACATGTGCTTTAAGACCAGAGACGTTCCCCGATCTGAATTCAGACACTACTCCCAGGTGGCTTTCTCATTTAAAAGTATAGATAGTAGCTTCGATAGTTTTAAGGTTTATTGTAAGAACAATCCTTTTAAACCAGAGAAGAGAGTTTCAAAAAGAAATCCACATTCATATAGAGCTGCATTGGATATTAGAGTCATAGTGTATAATGTGTTTAATTAACTTTTACATATGTCATTTTTTTCCCCTAAGGGAATTACCAAAGCCAGCTATAAAATGAATTTGAAAATGACAGTCACTTCTATTAATATAATTGTCTATATCAAACTTACTGGAACCAAAGAAATCTATACTTGTTCAATTAAGAGGTAGCATGGATTTTCAAAATAAAAAGTTAAAGAGCAATAACTTCACAAATAATATTTAAAAAACAACAGCTTTGCTTACAATGACAGTAAGTCTCTAAAAGGCTATAAATCATGGGAAGGGATGTCTTGATTTTGGAAACACATTTTGAATATTTTGGAAATAGTCAAAAATATTAACTGGAATCTAAGGACTTTCTTATTTAACGTATTATATACCTTAAATACTTCAAAAATATTTTTAAAATTCATTTGGAAACCAGAGAATTTACAATAAAATATTGAAAGCAAAAACAGGGAAGGGGGTTGGTGAGCTTAGAATCATTTTCATGTAACGTCTGCCCTCTGCTGGAATGTACTGGTATAGCAAGCAATGAACAAATAATTATGGTTTTCCTTCAAAATGCTGGGGCTTCCTTAGGTTAAAACACAACTTTGCTTCCTTCTTTTCCCCCATGTAGAATTTCTCCTAGCCTAGAAACTTTCACTCTACAGACTCTGTCTTTTCACCCTCAGTCTCTCACAGCTTCTCCTTGATGAAGAGTAGGTTTGCATTTCAGCAGGAAACAAAGGCAGCGAAAGGACTTCCGTTCCATGTACCTTGGTGAGAACAGTACTCCTTAGTCACTGCTTCTGGGGGCTAGTGAGGACAGGGTCTACACTTTACCGAATTTCGCCTTCCATGGTAGTCTTACTCAAGACCTCGCTGTGTGCTTGAACATCATACCTACCTTCCTTGCAGTTTCATAGTCCTCTTGTCAAAGATTATCTCGAAAGCTTGAAGTATGTCCCCATATTGGCATACACGCAAGGCAGCACGGACCCCTTAACTGTGCTCACTTTCATACCATTAATAATATATATTTAACTTTCTTTGGAAATAACAATCTTTTCTTTGAAAGAAAATAGATTACTTTTATTTTCGGCTATATGTATATGGATCTACACACACGCTCACATTTTGGTCTGTCATAGTTCGCTCTGTGTGCCAGGGAACATGTGTTCCCACAGAATGGATAGAAGCCACCTCCACCCACCTTGCATATTCTCTCTGGATCCA